GAGCTTTAAAAGAAAAATAAATGTTTAAATACCTAGCTTTATTTGACACATTTGGAAAATTCTGCGGTTAGGAAGATAATTAATGAAAAATAGTTTAAATAATGTATTTTTCAGATTTCTCCCATTGTAATTTCCTGAAAAAAGCACACTAATAACAAGACAGCAGCAGATTAACACATTTTATTCATATTCAGCCTAGGATTTTGGATTATTTATGGTCTAGGTTCAGTTGCACCTCTGGCAGATGGAAGGTAAGTAAATGTAATTCACGAACAGATTGCACAAGAATTATTTTGTACAGAATACCATTCTTCACATGAGTTTGGAACTGGAGAATACTAATACAGCATTCGAGCAGATGGTAGTCTGTCCCAAATTTTAGGAAACTCAACTATAAGGAACAAAACTGTATTTTTTGGGAAACACAAAACAACCTTACAGTGCTTTAGTTTTAAAGACATAAACTTCACATTGCAACTCAAAATGTCTTATTGGGTAGTATGCAATGGAAATAGTTATGAGAGCACAGCTTTTGTCATAATTAAAAACTGCATATACACATCATTATCAAAAGAAGAATAATTGAAAGACTTGAATTAAAAAGGTGTACAGGAATTATCTAAATAAGGACCCATCCCAGACTCAATTTCATAGAATAAATATACTCACATATAAAAGAAAAGGCAAAAGACACTGACCTTCTTTTTTATATTGTGTGATTTACTGTTCTTAAGAAGCATTTGTAACGTTTTTGGGACTTTTTTTTGCTTCTGTCACAAATAATTACCCTTTAAAAGACCTGTGGAAAAGGGGCTATCAACATTCGTTCTTTAAATTCAAGCTAGACTATAATTGTGGAAAATATGTGACATATATATATATAGTGCCCTCCAGATTTATTCATTCCCCTAGTGAAATAAAAAAGCATCATAAAGCACAAAGAGTTATGGGTTGGGTAATGTGTCTCACTTAAATTTCTAATGATGTTATATTGTAATTTTAATAGCCTTTCACAGAGTAAAGTCATATATGTCATAAATAATTAAGTGGATTCCAAACAATAGGATCACATTTATTCACACATCTGTATTCTTTTAAACAAAATTCAACACGCCTCTGATTTTCCTGTTTCCCTAGGGTATAAAAAGAGGTGATACAAATAAAACATTGAGTAGCAGCATGCGTCATCGGGGTTGAGGTCAGAGGTAACTTCTGCAAGCAAATGGTCATATTGTAACATCCACTTTGGGGGATGACAAAAAAAACAATTCCACCACTTTCTACTTTTGTGTTCCACATTAAGAAATTTAAGGCTCTATGGTATAGTTTCAAAAGTTCTATGAATAGGTCACAAGTACTGTATATCTTGCTACTATGGTAGCAAGTTTGGGAGACAACCATAAATCCAAAGGCCACACCTGAAGATCTCCAATCTTCAAATGCATCTTCACGTTACAGAGTGTTGAAAACTCCCATTCACCTGCATGACATCATGGTATTAGAAGCTGAGTTTCAAGAAAGATGCCTCTTTATGATGATGAACTTAAGGAAGTTGTGACTCAGGCTTGACAATAAACATCTGAATTAATTAAAGCAACCTCTTATTGTCAGAAGGAATTAAAATTGAGCTGTATTGACAAGACACGTTCATCAACATTCCGATGAGCTTAAATCATGAAGCGTAGGTTGGACAACTACTCACTTGTGAAATATTGTGGGGGTGTCAATTATGTTTTGGAGTAGTTTTGCACATAAACTTCCTGGAGCCATTGTTAGTCCAGTTGAAATCATGAACTCCAACATGTGTTTTGACCAGACGTCTGATTCTTCTGCCGCGAAGCTCAAGCTTGGCCAAAAGTGGACATCTCAGCATGATTATGATCCAAAGTATGGATCCAAATCAGCAAAAGGATGGTTAACCACATACAAAATAAATGTTCTTGACTGGCCATTTCAATCTCCACACCTCAGTCCAACAGAACATTTGTGATTCTAACTTAAGATGACAGTTCACTAATGGAAACCAAAGGAGTCCGAAAGACGTCATGAAGGAGTACATGGGGGAATGTTCATAAATCCTTCCTGAGAAGTGCCAGGAGCTCATAGCACACTACAGCAGGCATCTAATTTAATCCCTGCTTGAGGAGGATTTACTAAATACTGCCTACAGAGTAAATAATAAAATTAAATAAAATAGGGTAAATAAATTTGACCCTCACATTTTCTGGAATTTATTTATGAACAACAAATATGACTTTGTTCTGTGCAATGCTTTTAAGATTACTGTATACCATTTTTTTACATTGTTTTAAGGAGGAAACATTGTCTGATCTATAAATCACTCTGTTATTTTATATGTATCATTCCTGCTTCATCATACAGTAGGTATGAATAAATCAACTGGGCACTGTATATAATGTTGCACTGTATTATTTTTCAAAGAGATCTCAGTAAATAAGGTAATGAATTGAAACTTCTCCTTATCTCATGTGCCTAAGAGAAAGCAAGGTATTAAGTGAAGACAACATGCCTGAAGGTTGAACAAACACAGTACTGTAAAGTACTGTAATAAACAATAGCAGCATAGAAGATGTAGAGAGAGATGCGGGTTCTAGAAACACTTAAGATAAGCAAATCTCTAGGGCTGGATGCTTTTCTATCATTTCTACGTATGGAAACAAGATATGTTATCCTTGTTCAATTAACAAAACTCTTCCAGCAGTTGCTTGAGGCAGGGGTTATACCCAGTGACTGGAAAATTGCTATTGTAGTCCGCATGGATAAAAAGTGTGACAAGTGAAGCAAGTGATTATATACCAGCAACTCTTACAATCTGTGTTTATATACAGTAAGTGATGTTTAGAAATACCACTAAATATAAAAGAAAATAGTCTAGTAAAACTAGAAGAATATTTGAGAAGATTTATAAAGGATATTTTGTGATGAACTAACTGGCTAGTGGAAACTAGCAATGATGTATGCTCTTTGAACAAACAGTGGTGATAATGGATATAAACAGAACATGTGATACAGCTTCAGATTACTTTATTAGATATTTGTGAAAGATAAAATCTCTATTTACAGACAGTAGTCTTTCAAGGGAATGTGTGTGCTTGGATTAAAAATTGGTGAATTGTCAAGAAGGCGAGGGTACAGGTAAAGCGTAAAAATCCAAAGTGAGGTAACGTAATTAGTGGAGTACAACCATTTCTATCACTGATCTACATGTTGGTTCTGGTACAGTATAGTTGCAAACAAGCTAGCTAGTTCCATAAGTTTGCAAATTATTAATTTACTTAGTCATAGACAAAAATGACCAAGTACATTTACTGTATGAGAATGGGTCATAAGTTTAATGAATTTAAGGCTTTTAACTTGATTTTTTTAACATTCATTTGAAAATTACAACCACTCACTGACACCCCTCTAAATGAGCAGAAATCTTCCTTTGTGTTACGCTCTGACAGCCTTTCAAATTCAATTGTTGATTTTGTGATGTTTTTCATTTAGATTTCATACCGCTTCATACTGTAATTATTTATTTCGGTATCATTTAATCAGAATCATTAATCATCATGTTGCAACAGGATAAAACGTAAGACCTTTACTGTAGGTGATGATTCTCCTCATAACTACAGGTTGTAGTACATCATTTACTAGCAAAATACAGTAAGATTTGATTTTTTAATTTCATACCATCCCACAACACTGTGTATAATAAAAGCCAGGCAACAGAGCCCCCAGCTGTGATACACTCCAAAAGGCAAATTCAAAAATAATACATTTTTAAGATATTTTGAGTTTCAATGATTCTGCAAAATCTACAAAAGGGGACTGCAGTCTAAGGCTCTTGCTTCCTTGCAGCATTTTCATAGTAACATCTTTTTAAATAAATTTGGAATTTTATTTTTATCCAATACAGGACTTCAACTACAGTGTCATGCTCCGAGACTCAAGTATGAGTGAATAATCTGGCAGCTGCTTTCTAAAATAACTGGTGCTTCCTAAGGTTTAATATTAGATATACACACAGAGTTATGATTGAGCATTATTTATCTCTTCACCTTCCCTGCATACAGTGGTACAGATTTCAATTTGGAAATATTTCTCAAGTGATAAAACACAATTCCAAAACCATAATCAAGGTGAATATGAATAATGCAAGGTAAAGTCCAGTTTCTTCTATATGTAAATGATCCATGAAGGTGTCCTCAGATTAATTCCTTATTCTTAATGCCACTCTGTGAATTGTAACTAGCTTTCCACTACTCCTTTTTAAGTTAGTGTGATCCCCTTAAATTCTCACAAAATTCACCCTAAGGGGACATGCTGGTACTGATTCACTTCATTTCATTCTGCAAACTGTATTATAAAGGTGATAATGTTTTGCTTTTTTTGTCTTAGAGAGTAACTCTGTATCAGTAATATAAAGACAGGAAATCAGATGGCTTGCAGTCGATAGATTTCCTCATGTATCTAATAAAAACGTTTGGTTTCAGTCTAAGCGTTTATAGACGTGGGTATAACAAAGATGGCGAGTTTAACATGAGTAAAAATGTTGTCTTTTTTTCAGATTCAATATATCTATCATAAGGAAAAATCCTGGTGAATCCCTACGATGAAGGTAGACAATTACTGTCACAACTCTATAGCTGATTAAAATATAAAAAAACAGCTAAGTTAAGAACAACAGGAAGGCTTCTAGAAAAACATTTCAACTTTCCTTTTTGCAATATAATTAATTAGATAAATCAAAAGGAATGAAAAACATCTTTGTAGGTGTCTCGCTGCAATCACCGATTATTGTATTATATACTGTACAGTACTAGGTTTAACCTACTAACGGTGGAGATTCATACGTACTGTAATGTTACTCTGAGGGCGCTTGCAGCTACATCTGCTGCTAAGTAGGTTTTGATATGGGTTGGTCTTAAGGATGATGTCACCTACTCTACCCCTCTCTGGGAAGGCTCTACTGTATATAGTTGACAGACGCGGAGTATGTGGTTAAGAGTGAAAACAGCCCCATGTGCTTTTATTTCCTCTCCTTTAAATAACAGGATGTTTGTGGAATGAAACAACGGGAAGATAAAAATTAGCAAAGGGAAAGAAAAAGAGGGATAAAGCAAAGATAAAACTGTTATCCGGTTGCTGGAATAGCATTACTTAGAAGAGGACTGAAGCACGCGAAGCTTTTTTATTCTTTTTCAAAACTTGCGAAACTGCAAAGACCGCAGCCTCGATGCAACAAACAGGATACCATTACCATTGTTGCAAATTTATATCTGTGGCTTCATTTCGACATCGTAATCAAATATTAATATTTATTTCTAAAATTTATATTTTAATCAAATTCACGAATTCAGCATAAGGAAATTAACCAGCCAAGCAAAGAGCATTTGACATTTAAAATGAACACAATTTCTTTAAAAGTCTCTTCAATGTGTTCGGATTGAGCTGCTGGAGCTGCACTGAAGAATCGGAGCTTCTGGACTGAAAATGTCATCAGAATGGATATAAACCAACAGGCTCAAGGCGGATCTAATGCCTCGCAGGATGCCAATGCAACCTCCACTCCGAGGGTACCTCCTCATTCATTGCCAGCAGCTGCTTTTATCATCTTAGTGGTGACAGTGATCATCCTGGTAACAATTGTGGGAAATGTTCTCGTTGTGGTGGCAGTGTTCACCAGTCGTGCACTCCGGGCACCTCAGAATCTCTTTTTGGTTTCTCTCGCGTCTGCAGACATTCTGGTGGCCACCTTGGTAATCCCTTTCTCACTTGCCAACGAGGTGATGGGATACTGGTACTTTGGCAGTACCTGGTGCGCCTTTTACCTGGCTTTGGATGTTCTGTTCTGTACATCCTCCATTGTGCATCTCTGTGCCATCAGTTTGGACAGGTACTGGTCAGTGACTAAAGCTGTCAGCTACAATCTGAAAAGAACCCCCAAAAGGATCAAATCTATGATAGCTGTAGTCTGGGTCATTTCGGCTGTCATCTCTTTCCCACCTTTGATTATGAAAAAGCAAGACAATCAAGTGTGCCTGCTGAACGACGAGACCTGGTACATCCTTTCGTCGTGTGTAGTCTCCTTCTTCGCTCCTTGCGTAATAATGATTTTGGTATACTGTAAAATTTATAGGGTGGCCAAACAGCGGTCTTCGACCGTTTTTGTTGCCAAAAATGGAATGGACAGGCAGCCCTCGCAGTCTGAGACATGTTTTGTACACAAGGAGAAACTGGAGATGGAGAGCCCGAGCAGTCAGAGCTCCGGTAGTAACCAGAGGCAGGAGGAACTTGAAGATATCGATTTAGAGGAGAGCTTTGCTTCGGATAACAAACCAAGGAATTCTCGTTTCTCCAAAAAGAGGAACACTGAGGGTTCAGATTGTTGTCCCAAACAGAACAATCGTCTTTCCTGGGCTTCGAACAGAGCTTCTCAGCTCTTCAGTGAGCAAAAAATGAGACAGCAATCGATTTCTAAGACTAAGGTGGCACAGCTACGAGAGAAAAGATTCACTTTTGTGCTGGCTGTAGTTATGGGAGTCTTCGTACTGTGCTGGTTTCCCTTTTTCTTTACCTACAGTTTAAAAGCAATATGTGGAGAAAGTTGCAATGTTCCAGATGCACTATTTAATCTTTTTTTCTGGATTGGGTATTGTAACAGTTCCGTTAACCCTATTATTTATACAATTTTTAACAGGGACTTTCGAAAAGCGTTTAAGAAAATAATATGGAGAACTGCAAAACGCAATTAAGGAATTGTTGCACCATGTGTTAAGTTTATAGCCTATAATGTTCAAATAAGCGTTGCCGTGTTTACTATTTGTTTCATGTTCATCAGTTTCTATGTAGATAATTGTTAAAAAGTTCAACGTTTTCACATTGTTAAAAAATGAGTGCAATTCAGAAATTTCAAAGCTGTGAAATAAAATCAGTAAAGTATCGTGGTATGCGAAACCATGCTGTAATTTGGAAGAACACATGTAAAAGTAACTGAAGCAATTTAAGTTCTTAATATCGGTGGTTTCCGTAAGCAAAAAAATAGTTAACATAATTATAAACTTGTCTCCAACAAACTTTGGATATCACTCTATGAAACGTTTTGGGGGAAAAAAAAGTTAAAATGTGAATAATAACAGATGAGATAGAACTCTTACAAAAAGTGTTTAACTAGTGTTCTATACTGCTGGTAGTTTTAAACTTCTTATTAATGATCACCATAAGGACGTTTCCTGTCAAGCATTGTCACATCACACATGCTTTTAAAATAAACTTTGGTTTCGCAAGGGGTCTTAATCACTGCGATTTTGTAAGAACAGAAAAAGGTGCGTTTTATAATTCTTCTCATTGTATTATCTTTATTGGTAACATCAAGTACCGTTTTTACGAAATTATAGAACTGAGGCTGGTGATTTATGTAATTATCAATTACAGATTATTAACATGCAAAACTAATAGCATATGGTCGACGGCAATTTGAATTCCGCTTCTGTGTTTTTAATGCTAAGCTGTCGCCAGGTATACTGGTCACTAGTCTACTGTATATATACAGTTCAAGTGATACCCGCATAATTGTGATAGGTGATAAAGTAAATAACATGATAACATGTTTAAAGTATCAGTGAAATATTTTGAATAAATATTTGCAAGAGATTTTTAAAATCAATTTCCTCCATTTCACAATAAATCGGACTACAGCTATACTTCACTGGAAACTGTGATAGTTGGTAACACTTTAATCCAGAATGAATTTTGAATAGCACGCAGCAATAAGACTTAGATACTCAGGTACTTCTTCAGAGTTCCTTAAACATTCTGATAACAAACAATTTTAATCAAATGGTGACAGCTGCTCTAAATTCATGATGAATATTGAGTGAATTGGCTGCTGTTTTAAGGTCATACCAAACGTCCTAAATACGAGTAACAACGTACAGAGACTTAATAGTTACAAAGCTCCAGAGTAAAATTTACTTAATCGTCGTCATCATCATGCAAATGAAATTAGGGTTCTCACTATTATGTAGTGATACAAAAAACTCATTGCATAATATTTCATATGTACTGCTAAAAACATTTCAAAACTGTCAGAAAAAAGTCCGTGATTTTTAATTAGAATGTTGACGTTAGCTTTCTCCTTCTGTGAGTATAGAGAAATGTCACCAATGAGTCTGTCTTGCATTCCACCTGCTGCTTCACATTTTAACATCTAGAGTAATTTTGGACGCCAGATGGCATTGCATATTTATTTAGTTTTACTTTTATTTATCTGTTTTTTTATTTTATTTATCTGTAGCTTTAAGATGAGTGTTTCAATTAGACTAAACAACACATATGCTTAGGATTACGTTGTAATAATGTTGATAGTAACTCTGTGTTAACACTAAAAGGGCAATTCATGGTTTCTTATAAAAGAATACCGTTTACAAGGGTCTAAACCTTTCTTCAACTGTGCTTTTGTTTTAAATCCCCAAAAATCCATTCAATGTTTTTTATTTGACAGAATCTTTGAGATTTAATTGCTTGCACTATTTCAAATAATCTAACACAAAGCTAAAAATCAGCAGAAGAAACCTTGTTTTTATCAAACAGCAAGGTGTCACAAAGACATTGATCCTACATTACATTACATTTTCACTAACTACCGTAGGACACAATTGGCTAATCTAAGATGTCTTTCACCTCTTAATGTCAAAGTTGAATTCTTTGCATTCAAAGTTGTATCAAAGCATTCTTAATAACTTACATAACAGCACTGGTATAGTATACGAACGAACACCTACAAACATGTGATTCATTGAGCTGCTTTCCATGGTCCTGAAACCTCATCTTCCTCCTTATCCTAACTTGCTTCAATAGACTTTGATAGGTCTTTCTTTATTGTTCACAGATGGACAAGTTTAAAAGACTTACTGAAATCATGGAGTACCTGTCAATGGAAGGGGACTGGAAGCTTTTAAAAGTGAACCGAGCCAGATGGGCTTACCTAAATCAATATTGATGAGACAACTCAGTCTGAGGAGAAAAAAAAAGTAGCTTATGGTCAAGGTTATTTTAATTAGTTCTCTGAAGTTTTCATGAAACACTACACAGAAGTCCCTAACTAAAGCTAAAAATACAAGCTCAAATTTGTTTACATTTTTCACCATTATTCACATTCACAAACAACTCTTTTAACGGGAGTTTATTGTAGCCTCAATTTATTGGGTTGCTAACATTCCCCAATGTTCTATTCTAAAACACGTCACGAAGAAGCATTTTTAACAATATAGAATGACAGAAAATTGTTTTTAAAATGGCATATTATTAAAAGGTAGTTTAGGTTTGATTTAAGTCAGATTTTATAGCCTCTTGTTTGTTAAGGCAATGACAAAACATCAATGCTGATTACAGAAGTGCTGTGAGATCTAATAATAATAATTGTTATTATAATAATTCCTTACTCTTACAATGCTTTACAGGTAGTTTCTGGACACTCCACTCATAGTGCTTTACAGGTAGTGGGGACTCCCCTCCACAACCACCAATGTGCAGCATCCACCTGGATGATGTGATGGCAGCCATAGTGTGCCAGTACACTCACCACACATCAGCTATCAGTGGGGAGGACAACAGCATTGTAAAGCCATTTCATAGATAGGTATTGTAAGGTGGCCATGATTGGTAAAGGCCTGGAGGAAATTTTGCCAAGGGACCAGGGTAACACCCCTACTCTTTTTGAACAACACCATAGGATTTTGAATGTCCATGGAGAGTCAGGATCTCGGTTTTACATCTCATCCGAAAGTTTGAGCCCTTTTTTACAGTATAGTGTCCCCATCACAATACTGGAACATTAAAACCAACATAGACTGCAAGGTGAGTGCTCCCTACTATCTCACTAACACTTCTTTCAGCATCAACATTACTCTAGCATTCACCCAGATGATGGCTTTATCTATGGCACAATAATGTCTGTCGCCACACTGTGGCACCACAAAAAAATGATGGACTTCTTTACATTGAATCCCTTGTTCTGAGCCTCTCTCACTTCCTTGCATTTTATTCTAGTCCGCCACAGAGACTTGTGAAGCTGTCTCTGTCAGGAATTCCAGCTGTGAACCTCCTGTAAATCCTGGCATGCGTTCAATCTACACCAGGAACTCACAGTGCAGTTCTAAGGCCCCTCCTGATTAATGGAGCCCACCCATATACACTGTATAACAGTTTAAATAGTGTATCAGTTTATAAGAGACAATAATGATGTCTCCATAACTGTAGTATTGTAGGTATTCAGACCTTCTGCAGTCTTCTATTCAGGAATTAAGGTGAGTTGACTTCTTGTTCTCTAAGAATATAGTATTATTGAGTGCCAAAGATAATGGAAGGAACAGTAAATGAAGGTAGACTTATTAGTTTCCTTAATTTAGACTGCTGCACTGAGCAAAAAAAACTTTCTGAAAATAATGCAAAGTACTGACTACTTTAAAAGGTTATTACCCATAACTTTAATTTAAACCAAAATTAATGACTCACTCCATTGTCCAAACTATAATTGGGAGAGTTTACAGCTGCTGACTATTTAAGTGAATTAAATACACCACATAAAAAAATAACTACACCATAGCAAACAGAAAAATCCTTCAATTAGCCAAACTACATTACAGTCCAGTCAATAGAGCAGCAGATCTGAAGAAAAAGAGAAAAAAAACACAATTGAATTTCTTTTCAGTTTCATTTATTTATCAATTTTGCCTTTCAATGATTTTGAGCACATTTGAACAATTTGTGTATAAATCTTGATAGCATCAAATGGCACTGGAACTGAAATGTGTACCATTAAACCATTTTACTTTCAGAACACTAAGAAGGAAATCACAATTTCCCATAAATAGCTCTGATAAATTTTGCCTTTGCTTTATAATTTATACTAAACCACTAAGTATTACATAGTGAGGCACTTACAGGCAAGAACTAAATTTTCACACTGTGGGAAGAAGAAAACTCAATAAGATAAACAATACACTTTAATAAATGTCATATCTGCAAAATAGCCTTTTCTCTTTTTTCCATTAATGAATAAATGGTGTGAAGATAACATTTTTTTTTGTTTCATTGCATTTAGTCCTCATCTTTGATTAAACACTGAAATATCTAAATATCTGGATAACAGGAAACATTATGCTCTTGTGAACTATTTCTGGTTAAAAAAATGAAAAAGTCAACATTCTGAATAAAACTGAAAATAATAAGCAGGCCATCAGATAACTAATGCCAGAATAATACATCTATAATAGCAAGAATAATAGGTACTTGCTGGTACAGTACCTGTTCTAATGGGTATATGGTCTCTTTGAGTTGGAGCCCATTCCCAGCAATGATGGTACAGTACATATCCAAATCAGGGGCTGAAAATGTCTTACCAGATTTTCTCTTCTCTTCATCTCTTGCAATCTTCTTTACTAGTCCATTTTTGATCAGCTTTGTTCTGTAATCAGGAATGTTGTTTTCCACTTAAATTTCACATATAGTACATCATAGAATAATACTTCTTTACTGCCTTAGTTGAAGACCTTCAATTACACAGCTAACACCACACTCCCTCAAAGGCCCTGTTCTCAAAAATAGTATTGACCAGACATTCTTCACACTGTGAACTGCCCTGCAGAATGCTTTGTAAGAAGAGTAAAACTCCTTACTCCACCATCCAGGTTAGATACATTGCACATCATTTCTGATGTCTCCTCTGTTCCACCATCTGAAAAAAATCGTAAACAACTGGTTCTATTGTTGTAAAGTAAAGTCCATTGTTACAAGTGCTTCCTGATAGATAGTGAAGAAACAAAACATAAAAAACAGCATTTATGCTGTATTGCGGCAACTGCCCAGTAATATATCCATTTCAGTGTAGGGACTATATCTGTAGATCAAGTTTAATCACCAGATTTATGTACTAAATATGTTTACCAATCCCCTCACTTCATCAGCAAACAGACTTCATTGTGTTACAATGAATGTATTAAAATGTATTGAACAAAAGATAACGTTTGAAAACTGGATGTTTGAAAATATACTCAGCATCTAGCAGAAATATACTGTATGTTATTGCACAGAAATATTTCATTTTTATTGGCATAGAGTTCATAGAAATGGCTGTATGAACTTTAAAGATTTTATTGCAAACAAATGCAAATCTTTTAATCTACGCATACATTAAATTGTTTGCCAGCAGGGATTGTCAATGTGTGTTTCCTCATCACTAATGACTTGTGAAATAATCCCACAAATGAATTTATGTGGTTGATTC